GATGCGCTGTCCGCACATCATTCTTCTTTGCTGTGGCTAGGAATTTGTCCCAATACTCGCGCTTCGCCACCTGAATCGCCTTCCTGTACGCCTTCTTGGCCAACTTCCATTCTTCCACCCCGGCCCCATTCTTTTCCACCCTTCTGGCGGCCGCGGTGTACACCCTTCTGAGCTCCGTGATCTCTGGCTTCCACCACGCCTTCGACCACCTCGTCGGTCTTTTCATCGGGGCCATGCCTTTCACCAAGTGGATCAGCCTGTTCAAGTTGTCCTGAAACCTTTCCACTGCGTGGGCGCCCTCCATAATACGCGTATACCCCTGTGTCCCACTGAAATAGCCTTTTAGCGCCTCCTCGATAAGGGGGTTGGGTTTCCCTTTATCGACGCGCCACCAAATCTGGTCCCAATCGGGGGCCGGTCAGGCCAACTCTATCTCCTCCCAGTCGATATATGTGACTATCGCAATGTGATCGGAGCCAGTCCTTTGCGTCAGATCCCTCCACCTCGATACCTTCCCCAGCAACTGCGCATTTGCCAAGGAGTAATCCAGGACGGAAGGCCGGTGTATTGTAGGATTATCCGGGAACCTTATATGAACCCCCGGCGTATTCAGTATAGAGTATCCCGCCAATGCCGCCACCCGCATATATAGTTCGCCACGCCTCCTCTCGCCATGCGCCAGCTCCCTAAGTGGGTCTGTCATTGTGGTGTGTACGTTCAAGTCTCCCACTACCAACGTGGGCTCATTCGTCTCCCTAAACAGCTGCTCCGCCGGGACTGTGTCTGAGCCCCCCAGCTGCCTGTTATATGCGTTAATCAGCCCAAACGAGCGATTGGCCCCAACCAGGTTGCCCCTCCGAGCGAAAACCCTCAAATACAAATAATCAAAACTTCCTGGTACCACCACAAACGAAACCTGCAGCAGCAACCTTAAAGAAACGTAAGTACAAACTCTGACCTTATCGGTCCGCTGAAACAAATACTCAAAACCGGGGGCCCGCAGGGGTTCCCCGTCGTATAAAGGTGGGTCTTGCACACACACAAAAGAAATCCTAAAGTTCCTAACTATGTGAAATAAAGAAATAAAAACATCATTGCTCCCTCGGCAATTATGCTGTACAATGTTCAACTTCACTCCTTGCGTCATCTCGTCACCTGGGTCACCCGCCGTGACGGCCAACTGGCCTAATTTTCGGGACCAGGCCTACCAGCTTCGGCTAGGGACGCCATCCGCTGGTCATATCTCTGCTTTGCCTCCTCCTTAACCCTCTGTCGCTCGGGACACTCCCCACTCCTCGCGGAGTGTTTGCCCCCGCATGCCGGACACTTGGCTGGGGTCATCAGGCAGCAATCAGGTATTCTTCGCTTGTATCCAGCACACTTAGGCTGGTGACATTTGTGGTTGGCTTCCGCGTGCGGCTTGGCGCATATTGGACACAAGTCCACTGGTTCGAGGCATCCCACCTTGGGGTGTCCGAATTTCCAGCACCGGGTGCACTGAGTCGTGGGAGTGGCATGCCACATGATCTTGGCTTCCTTAAACTTTCCCAGGAGGAGCACCTGGGGGGTAACCTTCTCAGCATCCGCTTCGGGCATTCGGACCACAATCGAAGTCGCCTTCTTTGTCTTGCGGTCCCCCATATCCTTGCGGAGGAAACGTGCATTCGTTATGCCAATGTTGTGTGCGACCTTGAACGTCTTCTTCATCTCCGTGTCGAGGTCCGCGTTATTGTCGGGGATGGCATCAAACGGCATGCTGTGTATCAACACTGCCACGTCCGTTGGCGCTCTCCTGAAGTCCAAGTACTTTGGCTCCCCTTCCCCTATCGTCGCGTTTAGGGCCTCCGTCATCTTGTCCAAATATCGGGCATAGTGACCGGAATCGCTGTTCGGGGGAGTCGTAATAGTGATCGTACCATTCCACTTGTTGGAAGCAACCTGTAGATTGGTGGGGGCTTTGCACTCGCAACGGGTAAGGACATCTGCGATCGCCATCGAGATCCTGGCCTCCTCTCGGCTAGGGTCTCCCAAAGGTTTGGATGACACCCTTGTCGCAAACAGTTTCCTTGCCGCCGCCGTCTTCTTCCTAGCTTTCTTGGACTCCTGCACCTTCCACTCATCTGAGTCCGTCTTGCCGTCTTCCACTTCCCCTTTCGGGTTCTTGGGCTGTGGCGGCTTGGGAGGGGTCGGACCCTCGCTTGCCTTCCTCTTCTTGCCTTGCTCGGGGGTTTGTGTTGTCGCCGCCGCCTTGGCATACGTCTTATCCCCGGTGTTCATCGTTTTCTGGGCGGGCCTTTGAGGCACGGGCCCGCTTTTCTCCGCCTGTTGATCTTGGACCGTGCGTGCGAGGTTTTGAACCGTCACAGTCAGCTTCTTCACCTGGGTAGCCAGGGCCGAGATCATCGCCATCATAGTCATGTCTTCATTTCCCAGGTCCGAAACCTCAAGGTTATCGACCAGGTCCACGATCGGGGTATGCTGTCCAGGGCCGTGCTCAGCCAGAAGGGCCAATGCCATCTTTTGCACCTGTATGAAGCTAGTGTCTCGA